CGGCACCTCTACCCTGCACAGACCTGCCCGCCTTCTCCGCCCGCCCTCTGCCTTGCAGCCTGGAGGTCCCCACAAAGCAGGCAGCGAGGCACGGCCTTGAGGGCCTTCAAAGATTATCCCCACTGCTTGCGTCACTATCACCTCTCACCTTGGTTTTTTTTTTTGAGCATCAGCAAACTTGCTTTTGGGGGAGGCAACGAGAACCTTCAAACTCAGCTCTGGAACTCTTGGACTTTATCTAGCGAAGTAAAGCGAAGAAGTTTCAGCCACTCACAGCAGCTGGGTGGGCCCCAGCCGACCCAGCGATGGCTGTGGGGCCTGTTCCCGGTTCCCTGGCGCACGAGGCGCCATCCCGGGCCGGTCCCATCCTAGGTGGCGCAGAGCCTTCCCAGACCATGCTGGGGGCGGGGCGGGGAGGTGGGGTGCGGGGGCGTGACCCTCCTGGGAAGTTCAGGAAAAATCTAGCATCCCGATATAACTGGGCTCTGGGGCCCACATGTTTAATGGCGAACAGAAAGGCCTATTTGGAATCGGTTAGGATTCATACACCGGATCAGGAAAGGCTGCAGACCCCACTTATCCTACCCTCCACTGTACTGCAGCACCTACTGTATGCGAAACCATGACGCTTTGACACTTGGATAGATTGTTCATCTTTCTTTTTCTCTTTTTTTTTCTTTTTTTTTTTGAGACAGCGCTCATTCTGTTGTCCAGGCTGGAGTGCGACGTGGCCGTCATAATTCACTGCGCTCAAACTTCCTGGCTCAAGCATCCTCCTGCCTCAGCCTCCTGAGTAGCTGGACTACCAGGTGCAGTCACCACACTTGTATTAATTTTTTTTTTTTTTTTTCTGTTCCCGTTTGAAAAACCACAAGTCTGTGTAACCCAGACTGTGGGTTGCTGTGTAACTCAAACTAGTGGGCCCTTCAAACAACTCCTCCGGCCTTGACCTCCCCCAAAGTGCTGGGACCTACGGCCTGAGCCACAGTTGCCTGGCACCCTAGGTTACAAATGAGCAAAATGAGGCTCACAGAGACTGAGGGAAGCTGGCCATGAGTCACGGGCACTGAAACCGAGTCACCCAACGGCCCAAGTGCACAAGTCCACCGAAGTGGTGAATCCCAAACAGGGAGGCGGTAACCAGCCGGAGACAGTATAGCTGTTCTTTACGACAGCTGAGTTGCTGCCTGACTTCTGATTTCCCCAGGCAAAAGTGCAATGAGATGTTTTTTTTAAATGGAAATTGCCTCACTTACAAATGTTAGCAATAATACGTTCTTTCTGAATGCCAGAGGAGCCAAAGTATCCATTTGTGCCGGTCTGGATCTGCCGAGGTGTTCTGGCACGGTCTGCGTGCCTGTCTAGAAAAAAGCGGGTCACACCTGGTGAACACCCGCTTCCCCTAAAATCACCACGTTTACTGATACAACAGCCAGGCTAAGGACTATATTACCCATGCCCAATAGACAACGCATAAAGCAGACACTTGCCAAGAAGAATGTATGGGCGCGTCCACAGAGTGCTGCCAGGCACATATTGACCCTTCAGGGAGATCGGCGCCAAACAGGAGCATGCCGCTCCCAGTAAGGTGACGTTGATTATTGCACCCTCTCTTCGGCTAAAAGCCCCGCGTTATCGGCAGCGGCCACTGCCTGTATCCGAATCGGGGACAGTGGAGCATCAAGCCAGAATGTAACCACCGACAAGAGCGAGGAAAACCCGCAAAAGACAAGAAAGCAGAAACTAAAGAATAGTATAGAAACAAAATAGAGTCGTGCGTGGCCCATGTCATCGCAGCTACCGTTTGGGAGTGAGGCATGATGCGCGTGATGCCCGGAGTTGGATTGCTGTGAGCGAGCTGATGCGATCGACGCCCTTACCTGGGAACAGATGAGACTCTTGTCAAAAAAAAAAAAAAGAAGCCTTCCCCTGACTATACCAGTCTGGCCAGCATGTATGGACTGAAACGGACCAGTAAAGTCTGAGCCTGCTCCAAGATAAATACATTTTATGGGTGAAACACTCCAGAGAATTCCGGCGTTTGGATGTCTTGGTAACAACAAAACAACAACACAAAACACTCAGGACAGGACGCTTTGACCTTGGGGCGGTTCATTTCATCTCTCAGAATCAGTCTCTCATCCATAAAATGGATTTAAGGAAAAATCAGGTCTGACAGTGCTGTCTGTGGGGACTGAAACGGACACGGAAGAGAGTGTTGGCTTGGGAGCAGGCTGTGGCTCCAAGGGAGTGTGAAGAGGTCCAGGGATCTGGCCCCGGAATCAGCATTTTAAAGGGCTCTGTCGGCCAGGTGTGGTGGCTCACGCCTGGTCATCCCAGCACTCTGGGAGCCGAGGCGGGCAGATCGCTCAAACGGTCAGGAGTTCGAAGAACCAGCCTGAGCAAGAGCGAGACCTCTGCTACTATCAAATAGAAAATTATTGGCCAACTGATATATATAGAAAGAATTAGCCCCGGCTCTGTGGCCTGAATGCCTGCCAGGCTACTCGGGAGGGCGAGCAGGAGGATCGCTTGAGCCCAGGATGTCTGAGGTTGCTGTGAAGCCTAGGCTGACGCCACGGACTCACTCTAGCCTGGGCAACAAAGCAAGACTCTGTCGTCAAAAGAAAAAAACAGGCAAATGAAGAATAAAACAACACATTACAAAGGCTCTCACTGTGCTTCTCCAAGCATGCCTAACATGGAACAAACGATTATGCCAGCTTCCTTTGATCCTCAATCACCGTACGGCAGACGACGTATTCTCCAAGAAACTGAGGCTCACTGGGGCGGGCCGTCGCCCAAGTCACTCGGCCGGAAAGAAAAGACCACGGTCTACCCAGTTCATTAACTGAAGCGTCATCGGAGACCCAAGCTCGAGTGCCACAAACCCTGGAGTGGAGGGCTCAACTACTCCCTCACGCTCAGCCACTTCAATGGGGGAAACTGAGGCACAAACATCTGGCCAACGCCGGCTGCAGTGACAACGCACAACTCCGAACAGGCATCCCATTCCCGCGCCCCGGAATCCGGATCTGCCCTTGCACGCCCGCGATGTCCACGGCGCAGACGGGGAAACTGAGGGCCTGTGGCGCCAGGAGTGCCAGATGTGGCCAGCGGCGCGCCCACCCCACGGCAG